AGCTGTATATGCAGAATACTCCGGATTCACTGGCCAGACACTATCAGCAACAACCTACTATGGGAGAGAACAAACCAGATCCCGGCGGATGAACAAATCGAGAAGAAATGTTGGAAGTGGATAGGACACACACTAAGGAAAGCATCCAACTGTGTCACAAGGCAAGCCCTCACATGGAATCCTGAAGGTCAAAGGAGGAGGAGAGGAAGACCAAAGAAGACATTACGCCGAGAAATGGAGACAGACATGAGAAGAATGAACAACAATTGGATAGAATTATAAAGGAAGGTTTAGGACAGAGTGGTTTGGAGAACGTTGGTCGGCGGCCTATGCTCCATTAGGAGTAACAGGTGTAAGTAATTAAGGTTAGCATGATGGTTTGGCAACGCTAAATTTATAGGTAATGCTGAGTTAACTCTACAACCACCTATTTTTTCACATTCAGAGACTTTATTGTTGAGCTACTTCAATTAATGTCGACTATTATGAATTCTAGTAGAATCATCAAAGACAACTGTTGAAAGTATACTTCATCATTGACAGGATTAAGATGAAATCTGTTTTATGCATGAAATGTTCATAAAAAATAGACACATAATTAAAGGATTCCATCAACTGAGATCAAATAAGCTGAATTAAGGGATATATTACGATATTAACCAGAAAAATTATGTTAGAAAATTACATATCCATGGTACAATGAATAAACTTAATATTTTACACTTTTATAATCAGAAGGGGGTTTGCGAATATTTTAGTAAGTTAAATAGTTGAGATCATGGGTCAACCGAAGCTAGACTACCATGGAAAACCTGAAAGCATTGGACGGCCGTTTCGTCCTACTGTGGGTTTAGCTTCAATTAACTCATGATCTCAACTATTCAATTTACTATGATATCCACAAAAACCCCTTCTCATATTAGTCAGCATATAATCGCTAGTGACTGGCTTCAACAGTTATTTCCTGAAGTTCTAGTAAGAAATAGTGACCAATGGAGTTGAACTGAGTCTGTTGTGAGATGGTAACTTACTGAAGACAAAGGTGAACGTGTCGCTGAATTTCGTGGATTAATTGAAGTTAGACATTAACACCATTGGATACCGGCCGTCTTAGTGGTCTAGATGTTAAGCGTTCGTGCGCGAGACCGACAGGTCTTGAGTTTGGATCTTGCGAGGTGGGATTATGGATGCGCACTACTGAGGAGTTCCACAATAGGCTCTCAGGTTTTCCATGGTGGTCTAGCTTCATTTGACTCATGATCTCAACTATTAAGATTACTTTTATAATCATTGAGTAATGGATATGTGTATGATAATTAGTCATAAACTGTTTCTCAAATCTTTAATTCATAATCGAAGAATAACATATTATTGTTATTATCATTGTCATTATATAATCTATAGTTATTATCAAGGTTAGATATAAATTATTTTGATGAACTTTTCAACAGTAATGATAATAATCATGTAACTTATTATTACTATTGACTAGAATTTAACATCAGTCGAATAGATCATGGTAAATGATTCCTTTAACACGTAAGCGATCAGTTTTATTTATGTTTAAATCATGATTGATTTTTAAAAAAAATAAATGAATGGACAGTAAATTGTATGAATGTCAGTAGTAATCAAATTCCGTATGAATAATTGCCGATACTTATTGATTAGAAGTACCGAATATCATATGACTTGTGACCTGTGTCCCTCTATACTGGATAATGCAACGATACCGCCAATTAGAGAGCAGCGAATTATAGATCGGACCAATGACGCATAAAACGCGTACGAGCAGTCTAGAGTCTTTTTATCGGTCCTGCTTCCTGCCTAGTCCAGTCAGTTAAGTCCAGAACACAAACCTCATTCTCTGCAATATGAATCATTTATTTCAAACATACTGAATTTATATACCAATCAAACAAACCACATCGTACTGTAAAATAGGAAATAACATTTGTACAAGAATTAGCCAGATGTGGCTGTGAATGAAGAAGGTAGCGATTAACAGTCAGGCAATAGTTCATGAATGGTAAATTGCATAATAATAGTTCATAGGTCAAAATAAAGGTCATAATAAGAGAGATATGAATGTGAATAGTTTATTTATTTAACAATTATACGATAAAAATATACGTATAGTATTGGTCCATAAATGGATCCCAAAAGTTGCCTTTCATTATTCTTATCGGGACATAACACTTCTATTGAAAGCATTCAAAAGAAATGCTTTTAATCATCTCTCATTAGAAGTTACTCTAGTTTTCTTAATAAATAGTCTTATTGTGTTAAAAAGAAAATCTGTTAGACATAGTTGAAGAAGTTTTCACATCCGGTCACCTAAGTTGTTTGATCTTGCGTTAAGAGAGAGAGAGAGAATAATGTGAATTACTCTTAACTATACATTACATAATTAATATAAATGTTATACACTATTCGACCCATGAAGAGATAATATTCTCAGGTCGAAAGTTTAAAGTCGACATGATCTATAAAGTGACATATTACATTAATTGATCATGAATATTGTTTAGTTTTTAATGTTGACTGAAATCTTTTGATTATTTTTAACTATGACATAGATAGGTCTTTACTATGTAACACTTTACCCCATTGACTACACTGAGAAGAATAACTGACAGGATTTGACCAACACTAAACAGTAAAAAGAAATGTGGCATTTGTTATTCTTCAGTGATAGATTAATAGATTGACAGTGATTAATTACTGAATTATTAATCTTCTGATGACTTCGAGGAATGTGAAACTAGATGATAATGATCTTAAACTTTTGAGAAATTCTAGTTTCATTCAGATTATCCATACAATTCGATTATAAGTACTGACTAATGTAAAATCTAAATCTAGGGTTCTTTGCAATTTGATCCCAACTGTTTAATGGCAAATATATAAGGTACTAACAAAACAGAAAATAATGTATTACTTATAGGTTTTGTTGTGACTACTGGATAATTTCAAAAACTTACATAAATCCAAGGTAGATACTTTAAAGTTAACATTGAAAATGTCACATTTATGGGAAGCTTCAATCCTAAAACGCTTCATTTAAAAACCAAAATAGGTTTATGTTATATCCCGATAAGAATAAGGAATGGTAACTTTTGGGATCCATTTATGGACCAATACTATACGCATATTTTTATCGTATAATTGTTGAATAAATAAACTATATATATATATATATATATATATATATATATATATATATATATATTCCTCTTATTATAAGCTTTATTTTGACCTATGAAATATTATTATACCATTTACCATTCTTGGATTATTACCGATTTACTAATCACTACCTCCCACATTCACAGCCACTTTTGGTTAAATCTTGTACAAATGTTGTTTCTTATTTTATGGTACGATGTTGTCTGTCTGGTTGTTATGTAAACCCAGTATGTTTAAAATAAATGATTCATATTGCAGAGAATGAGGTTTGTGTTCTGGACTTAACTGACTGGACTAGGCAGGAAGCAGGACCGATAAAAAGACTCTAGACTGCTCGTATGCGTTTTATGCGTCACTGGTTCGATCGATAATTCACTGTTCTCTAATTGGCGGTATCGTTGCGTTATACAATAAACAGGGCACACAGGTTCACGAGTTATAACAATTTGAATGTCTAGCATGTTTGTATCAATCTGTAATATTTACTAACCTAATGGAATCTGATACTGATTGGTTCATGATTTTAATGAAGATTATCCAGATGATGAAATAGAGGATAAAAAAGTTGGTAAGCGGTTACATTCCATAAAGTGGTCTATGTATTTAAATTTCTATTTTCTTACAGTAGTATACAGAGAAAGGTATCTTTGAGATCAAATTAATAGTTCGTTTTTGTATTGTTTGTTTGGATCTTCCCATTAACGTTTAGGGTAGCAATTGATCGATCTCTTATTGGTATTTATGCATCCTCTGCGGATCGCCTTGATAGTGCCTTAAGTCAGAAGTACTGTTAGTCACCATCCACCTGTGCTTATAAAATCAATAGTTATTTTAGAATTCACAAGACAAGGAAAAAGGAAAATAAGCTAAAGAGAGGATATAAAAGAACGCATAAATTTAGTGTTAACGGAATTCTACCAATTTGGAAACAGGGTGATCATAACCTTGAACGATTGTGTTTTTAAATTAAAGTGGCTGTGAGGGGCTTTTAAGCTTTTCGTAGTAATATGCTCATATTAACACAGCTTATCTGCTAGTTAAGAAAATCAGTGGTCTCTGTGGTATTTAGATTCAGGTCATTATAAAAGTTGTGTTTCTATTTATCTGTAGAGTGGTACTTGCATGAATCAGTTATAAAGCAATAGTCCTCAGTATTGACTGAATTTCACCCACTTAGATTGTGGATAATTATGTTAAAGTGTACTTATCAAAATACTGTAAATGAATGGCACTAACATGTACATTTATGCTACTTTATTGAATTTAAACGAACTAGATTTGATTAAAGTAATCATAAGTAAAAATAGGTGGGGTGAGACTATAATTTATGGACGACCTTTGAGCGACACTGAAGTGAACTTGAGAGTGAACAACTTCTAATTAGGACTAAATGACTGTTAAAAAGCAGTCAGAACTCTCACTTACAGCTGATGTTTGGGGTTAAAAATTAGAATGAGGGTTTTCATCACGAACTGACATCACCTATAATGCCAAAACTCTATTTAGCCAAATGTATGGATGAATTCCGCGCCCAAATTCGTGACTCGTTATCTTATATCTGATTGGTTCGTCCATAAATTATAGTCTCGCCGAAGGTGTCTAATATCGTCAAATTAATATAATAAATGAAAAACACATACTACTTCACTAGAGATTTACACTACTTATTCTCATTTTCCTGTATTGAAGAGTATATACTGATGTAACGAAATATTTTCAACACCTATATTACTTATAATGAATGAAATCGATTCAGTAATCCATAAAGTTACCTAACGGTTAGCAACAATAATAATAATAATCAAACTCATTTATCAAGTATAAGTCTGTTTATTAGGCTCTGAACTATTAAGTTTGTCTAAGGATTAGCCTTTCTAGCTTTTAACCTAAACCAAAGTACAAATGAAATCTAAGAATTCAAGTGTAAATTATTTGTATGAAGCATAGGAAATAGTTATACAATAAACTATAAATTACATATATATTCGCTTATGATTAATGTAAATAGAGAAGCAGATACTGACTAACAAATTACATTGCATTAATTAAGGTCTATACAAATAAGATTTTAACCTATTCAAATGTAGTAAACAGATAATAACAGCCTAAGTAGAAAAGATAATAAACGTAAGCAATTCTATTGTAAGTAAACATGTGAAACTTTATTGATCACTTGGTACATTATTGTTTTCAAGATTATTTGACAAACTATTATGAAATACAAGAAATTTATTCTTTAATCTATCTTCAATTGATTCACGATGTTTATTCACTAAATATCCAGCATATTGAAGACTTTGTTCATGCCATATATCCAAAGTAGTATAAGGTGTAGTATGTTTAGCATTTATAATTGGAGTAATTTCATCTTTATCTTCTGTACGCAGTAAACCATCCCAATGTTTATGTTCAGGTGGATAGATATTACACCAATCACCAGAATAACCAGGCCAACATTGACATTCAATAATAATATCTACATGTTTATTTTTTCTAAGCCAGATTTTTGTACAGTCACCAAACATACAATGTGCTGTACCTGATCGACATGGTTTAATTATAGTTTCATCTGGTTTATATGATACATGGTATGGTCTAAAATGTAAAATATAATGAAGGATAAATAATGGGATTTTATAAATGTATCAATAATATGATAATGGATGGAAGGGATTCGATTATTAAAATATTTTACTGATTAAAAAGTATGATTTAAGTTGCTCGTTTAACTTTGGGTGGTTTTACGTTTTATTAGAGTTTACATTGATCAATAGTATGATAGTCCGGATTTCCCATGAGTAACACGAAGAAGTCACAGATGTATGTTATTTATTTTTAATCACAGTCAATCTTATGTGTGAAGCTATTGGAAAAGTGAATAACCGCCTGAGTCAATTTTTATGATTAAAATAATGGTATTTTAAAAAAAATTAATACTCACCATTTATCCGACATTTTACTGTATGATAAATGGTTTTACCATGAGATGTTTAGACTTTACCGTTCATGACATCTTCATTCTCGAATCAGATAGATATAGGATGTTTGAAATGTTCCTCTTGTTATAAAATGGTGGAAACAGACTTACTAAAGATGATGAATATGTATAAAATTTATACGGAACAATAAATTTGTATGTATTTTTATCTAAAATGGCTTTGTGAATATCATGGTAATTTCAATGGTTGAGATCATAAGTCAATTGAAGCTAAAGCACCATGGAAAACCTAGAAGCACTAGATGGCTGTTTCGTTCGAATCTCGTGAGGCGGGTTCATGGATGAGCACTACTGAGGACTCCCATATGAGAACGAAACGGTCGTCCAGTGCTTCCAGGTTTTCCATGGTGCTTTAGCTTCAATTGACTTATGATCTCAATTATTGAAATTACTATACTATCCACAAAGCCCCTTCGTATACAAATACATATAAATTTATTGTAATGTAGAAATTTTATATATAATCATCATCTTTAGAATGTCTGTTTCTACTATTTTATAACAAGAGGAACATTTCAAACATCCTATATCTATCTGATTCGAGAAGGAAGATGTCATGAGCTGTGAAGTCAAGAAAAGTAGATAAATCTTCTAGTATATCTTATAGTTTAAATACATTTAATCTATGTCGGTTATTGCAAGAAAAGATTAAGTTAGTCACCTAATAAGTAAATCTCATTGCATTCTGTTATTAGGAAAAATTATATGTTGCCTGTAAACTCTCAGAATCAGTCATATTGGTGTAAATACATTTACTCTTTATCTTATCCTAGATCTTAAGTTCCATTATTCCTTCATATGTACATTTTCATTCTGTCTTGTACTACTTTTTCAATATTTAGTCTTTCTCATTATCGTTATAATGACATTATTAATGTGATTCATTCACAATTTATCTCTTTACTTTCATCTTGTCGAACTAATGTAATCTGGGAACTTAAACCGTCGCACATTTACATCATACTTTACGTTGATAATAACTGACTGTTTTTATTATTTGTGCAACAAACTACAAATTCATTAACTTCGTTTTGTTCAACACTAGAATGCTTATAATGTACATGACATAAAATTGAGAATAATTAATACGACTAACATCTTTATACGTGATATAACTTTTAATCTTTTATATATAGAATTAACTATACAATTTCTAATACATGACTACTACTAACTATAAAAGACGATATGTTGATAATGATCGTAAATGGAATGTTCTAGAAAAAAAACAACAACCGACGTTTCATATAAGATGAATATAAGTAGGCTGATTAAATAGGTAATCTAATGTATTCATAAGAAAATGCGATAGTTATACTTTCAAATTACTATGTTTTTAGAGGAAATGAGAGTTCATTATATTGTTAAGCTTTGAATCAAATCAAATTGAAAATTGTCACTTATAGATTTGATCGATTTATTAGTGTTTAAATGCATGTTAATGTTATCATCATAGCTCTAAACTATATATTTGATGGAATAATACCCATTGAGTAGATACGTTATATAATAAATATATAGTGATATATCGATTATAAATTAACAAGAGCATAGCCCACCTACTAGTATTCTCCATCCAACACTGTTCTGAGAAATCCTGTCCAGCTCTTTCCAGTTGTTATTCATCCTTTTCATATGTGCTTCTATTTCCCGACATAATGTGTTCTTCGGCCTTCATCTTTTCTGCTTCCCTTCAGGATTGCAAGTTAGGGCTTGCTTCGTGGTGCGGCTTGATGATGTCCTCACTGTATGTCCTATCCATTTCCATCATCTTTTCCTAATTTCCTCTCTAGTTAGAAGCTGGTTTGTTCTCTCCCACAGTAGGCTGTTGTTGATGGCATCCAGCCAACGGATATTGATTATTTTGCGTAGACAACCATTTATAAATACTTGTACCTTCTTGATGATGGTTGTAGTAGTTCTCCAAGTTACAGCTCCGTATAGTGGAACTGTCTTGATATTCGTATTGAAGATTCTGACTTTGATATCGATTGAAAGTCGTTTTAAATTCCATATGTTCTTCAACTGTAGGAACGAGGTCCTTGTTTTGCCAATCCTCGCCTTTACACATGCATCCCATCATCCTTGTTCATCGATGATACTTAGAGTAATTTCAGACATGCATTAAAAACACAGAAGAACTGGACATCTGTTTCTGTCTAGTATGAGACTGCTCAGAAATGTAAATTCACAACTTCACTAGATATCAAACCCAAAATTTCCAGGTATCAAGGCGACCATTTAGCCAGTGAATATAAGCTGTGGTCAAAAGATTAACAAAAATTCTTAGCACCCTTAAAGTCCAGCTAAATACTTGAAATTCAATGTAGTTTCAGTGGAAAATGAAGGTATGTGAATATTACGTATGAAACACGTTCACTAGTCCAGTGTAACGAATGACTGCAATATAAAAGTTTATAATTCCTTAGTTTTGAATGGTAAGTATGGTCATGGCATTTTAATTAGTTTGAAAAAGTGATGATATAACCGTAATGATAACTGCCTAAAAAACTGATACAAACATCTTAACCGGATAGCATTTAAAAAGCAATAAAACCACTAGAAATCTGACCAAACATGTCGTTTAATCATCAAACATTCAATCAAGATAGTGAAACCTAATTTCTCTTCGGATGATTAATAATAATCACACTAACATACAATGTCATAAAATTTCTATTGAAGAACTAGAAACTGATGAAGAATTTTAGTCTTGTAGTTTAAGATTATCATAATCTTCATCAGAACTGAAAGTACTAGGATCGAGTTAGTCTTAGATCACTGAAATCTCTTATTGTAATAAAAAAGCTATCTAGTCCCCTCCGGTTTTAATTGATTTCATTTTCCTGTAAAACTTAATAATGAAATAAACTATCTGAAAATTTTATTGAAATAATGAACTGATCTAATTTCAATCACCTTTAAAAGCTTGAAGGCATTGGGCAACCTTTTCACCCTATAGGACTCCAAAGTAGTACTTTCAGATTTTCAATAATAGTTTAACTTATATCAATCCAACTGAAGAGGAAATTAGGATAAGACATTGGAAGTGGATAGGACATACATTCCGGAAATAAGTAAACTGCATCACGAGACAAACTCTAACATGGAACCTTGAAGAGAAGCAGAAAAGAAAAAGGCTAAAGAATACATTACATTGGGAAATAGAAGTAGATATGAAAAGGGTGAATAATAGCTGGGAAGAACTAGAAAGGATTGTTTGAGATAGGACGGCCTATGGGTAATAGGTGTAGGTAATTAAATAAGTTATATCGGTTCATGACTTCAGTAAAGTTTAACAATTTTTACAACTCCATCCTGTTATTTGAAATTTACCAATCATAATTTTGGGACTTATATGAAGTGGCATAATTTTCTTCTGCTAGGTTTCAAGTTATCACGAGTTCACTTAATCTGCGAACGAGAACAAAAACTCAGTGACCAAAGACCAGTAAGATAGTTATTAATGCGTCCCAGCCCCGCTAACTAAAGGGAGAAGTCCAAATTTGGAATGAGAAAGTATATTCTGCAAACAGCCAGAAACGAGATAGCCCCCCATCACAATTCAAACGTATATATATATATATATATATATCAATTATATGTATATAATCGATATTGCCATGGAAGTATTTTTCAACATTTAATCGATGAGTTAGTCAATCGACTGCCATAGAAATATTTAACATTTAATCGATAAGAGTAGTATAGTTAATTAACAATTATACGGTAAAATATACGTATAGTATTGGCCCACAAATGGATCCCAAAAATTACCACTCATTATTTCTATCGGGGCATAACATCTTCAATGTACTCTTATCAAATCGAACCATTTTGTGCTTAGGTTATTTTCATGCCACTTAAACTTTTTAATAAAATCTTAACATCCTTTCATTCAAATCAAAGGAATGAATTACGTGAATTCATGTAATAAAAGTGAGATTACAGTAAGTAATGACTAAAGAAAACGTTTCATTGTTAGCACACGTAAAATTGTAAGCAGAGTAGGATAACTAGACATTAGAACTTTAAGTATAAAAATACTTGGACTATAGGTCCTTGAATTTCGAATAGATTGATAAAATACAAAGTTTTTTAACTGTACTTAGATGGAAAGTTTTGTCACTTTGAATAAATAAAGATTTAGTTTAATTATGGGGAATGTAATTGTCTAGTCTATTGACAGAATCATCTATTCTGAAATTGTTATTATTCCCAGCCGTTTGATGACTGATAATATCTCTGTACAAATATGAGAAACATATTTATTGTTTGATGAATTATATCCGTCTATTTATCAAATGGTGAGTATAATATAGCAGTTCAAAATGTACTGACTAAGTGTTCAAGGTAAAAAACATAGATAAACCAATATCTTCACAACTGATTGATCACTGAGTGGTGATCAATGTCATGCGTGTCAGGTCCTTTTTAGTATAGATCGAATGTTATAGACCAAGTTGCAATGTGACCACTAGTTTAGGTGACTCGAACATTTATCTCTAACTTACTACAAGGGATGTCAGTAGAACTTCAGAGAACTAACAAGTTCAAAAACAAAGGCGTCAAAATAATGATAGTATCAATGAAACTCAAAAATTGGACAGAACGAATTTCGAGATGGTGGAGAAGATTTATAGCTCAAGTGGATAATTTTGATGAAGTTTGTGCTGATTATGTCGTTCAGAAGAGCGATGAAAGCTGTACGACCAAACCATCCAGCTTAGAGAACAAAACTCAATCAAATAACGAATTTCGTTAAAAAACAATTAGTGAATGAAATGAATAGAAATGAACAATTTTACGGTATGGAACAACTATCAAATTTGACTACTTAAAGGCAGAGAAAGAATGCGTGTATCTGTATCAACGAGGCTGATTTGAATGTATCTCACCTCATATATTTTAACTATGGTGTGCAACGCTCGATACAACTACTAAACTAAATCATCAGCCTCATAAGTTCAAGTGATGGTTTAATTAAGCCTCTCTAAGCATTACAAACAAAGGTGGGTAGTGGCTAGTAGTGGAATTCAGGACGCACGTTTCATTCTTTTTGGGACTCGTCAGCTGGATGTACTTGCATGAGTTGACGTCCACCTCAGGACTCGAACCCAGCACCGTTCGCTCCAAACGTCATCATGCTATCCACTTAGCTAGTGAGTCTTGATAGCCACTTGCTTGTGCAATGGGGTGAAGTTTAAACTCACTTGAATTGGATCAGTCTCTTATTGGCATATGTGCATGCTGATCAATTGCAGTCCTAAACATCAATGGGAAGATTCAAGTATACAATACGAAGTGAATCTCTCTAAGCCTTGTTTCAGACTACTCTAATGCTGGTTACTAGTACAAACAGCTAAATTATCGACTGAATCTTAGTAAGTATAGTTAGTTACCTTTCATAACCTCATCAATAAATTTATCATTTTTACTTATTACCCTATTAGTATCCAATTTTTTAAAACGAAGGTGTTGTATTGTTTACTGGAGTATATTGTATAGAGTGACTAGCAAGCGTAGGTAGATGGTCATTAGCGCCCTGAATAGTTCATTAGTAGCATCCTGGTCTATGAAGCTGGATGACATAGGTTCATATCTCATACGGAGAATCGGTCCCTTCAAAACTGGAAATACTTTCTTACGATGATTGTCAGCTAGCACAAAACCAAGCTCCAAGGTTTTTATTCGATTGTTAATCATAGCGGTCAACAAGTGCAGTTAAAACAATTCGATGGTTGGGGATAATTTTTTAAGAACCTAGATCTCAATTTCATTCTAACTGACACTGGTCAGTCAGGTGCACCTTCAGTATACCGAGATCTGATACTCCTTGTGGAATTCTGACCCACGTCACTCAGATTCACAGTTTGATATGTGACCACTGAGATAATTAAACCTCAACTGATGTCTTGTCAATAAGATATTTAGATTGATTCGTTGTTGTTTTATTTATACCAGTAGGCATAGTACAATCTAACTGATACAAGTTTTTCAGTACCAAGACTCATGACAGTGGGCACTGTTCGGTGATCACTTAACCCTGATTATTTGATTAACAAACCATAGATTTAAACTCAATCCTAGCACAAGTTTTATCCAACCTCAATGAATATACTCAAAACTGTTATGTTCGTGAAAAAAGTTAAGTAGATTATAAAGAAGAATTTACTTATTATTCTATGAAAAAAATAAAGGGAGATATCTGCAGTCAGTATATTAAACTAACTTGGCATTTATTAATAATCCAATTTCAACAACATACAATAATAAATTATACCAATGTAATTTATGATTAAGTAACATATTTCACAACTATTGTAAAGGCAGACTGATTATTGAAATGGATATCAAATAACTGAATTATGCATTTATATAAATTTTCGATTACATATATATGGATAGACAGATAGATAGATAGGTAGTTAGATAGATAGGCAGATAGATAGATAGGTGGGTAGGTAGGTAGATAGATAGATACATATACGTACTGGATTTCGTCATATTCATTTTGTATATTAGATTTTATTACATGTAAATACAATTTAAAAAATATGTAAATATTTTCATGTTTATACCGTTACATGAATTTGATTCTATTTACTTACTACTGACTTAAGTAGTAATTTTTTCCTTAACAATTCAATCAAATCGATCATTTATATATATATATATATATATATATATATATATATATATATATATATATATATATATATATATATATATATATATATATATATAAATTTTGACAATAATCTGGTCAACTGAATAGAGTTGATAAACATGTTTATACTATTCAGAATGTAGTTTGAAGATGA